ATGCAAAATTGTAATTTGGTGGGTCCCACTTTTGTTTTTGCGTTGGTATGACCATGTCATCATTTATCCAGGTGTACAACTGACGTGGCTTAAATTTTTGATATATCTGTGAGTTAACGGACGATTTCTAACGGAATTACCAAATCGGGGTAAAAATGGTAAACAGTAGGGACCAAATCAGGGATATTTTTAGTTTAGGGACCAAATCAAGGGTCCGTACAATAGTTCAGGGACCAAAAAGGGGTTTTAACCTTTTGCAATTGAAGATGTTAATTACACCAAAATGCAAGCTATTGAAGAAGCTTTTCAAAGACAATCTTCTTTGCGTGAAATGGAGAAAGAAAAAGAAGCAGTATATAAAGATCATGTTTCAAGGATTGTTAAAGGACTTAGAACAATGTTACAAAGAATAAATATATCTTACTATAGCAAGAAAAAGATGAATGTACTTCTAAACAATATCTAATAATTTTCATAGTATGTAGAATTGACTATCCATGATATAATATATATAAATTGTAGGGTTATCTTTGTCTTATATATTCCATTCTCTTAAAAATTACTAATAATGTCCGTAAGTAATCTATTATTAATTTAATTATTATTGATAACTCTTCTAACTTTATTTATAAGACTAGCTTTTTCTCTTTTATTTTTATTATTGTTGTCAACTATCATTGTCCCTTTTTCCTAATTAAATAATCATTCTCTTCACTTTTTATTATATTATATTTAATTAATTATTCAGTTTGTCCATCCTATGAGAATGACTATGGAAAATAGAAGACAAACAAAAGGAATGGAAAAGATACAGAGGGAACCCAACCCTAACAAAAAAAAAAAAATACTATTACTTAAACCCCGTTGAAACTATGCCCTAAACATAGTGTTGAAATGGGAAGTAAACAAGAGCTGCATCCAGAGGTGAAAGATGCATATCCTTGGAAACGCATAAAAAATATTGGAATGCATAATAAGAGAAGTTATGGGACTAAATTGTAAATCTTTTCAAAGTTTGAGATCTATATTGTGAAATAAATGGCTCCAATTAGGGACCTAAATGAATAAATCTGAAGATATGAGATTAGATTGTTCATCATGTAGAAGTCTTAGGACCAGACTTGCAATTTTATCTTTGAAAAAATAGCAAAAGGACACAAAAACCCGACACGGGTTGTGTGTTGACACTTTTGCTTAATGTTTTGACACTCTTGCTTAGTGTTGATATAATTATTATAGAGGAAGTTGAACAAATTAATATATAGTTAAAAACGCTAAACACGAGTTATTAAAAATTAAACTCACCCTAATATATGCATAATGGAAAATAATAATGAAAAGAATTAAAAGAAGAGAAAAATTATGCCATTTACATGTACATTAAAATCTCCATTAATTAATAAAAAATCATAAA